GCTTTTATTTCCTTCTGAACTACAGCTTGAATTAAAGCAGCTTTATCCCTGTCGCTGCAAAGATGATGTACTGACTTGACACGGGCTGTAGTAGGAAGGCACTTCGTCAGCTGTGTGGCAGCAATAACTTGACTGCCTCTCAAAGGGCAGGGAAGGGAAAACGTGGACTGTTTGCAGACTGTATGGGACAGAGTGATGGACCGGCCTCATTCCTGCGGTGGTTGGTAGGAGAAAGATCATGAGCTGCAAGGATGGATGAGATTGGAAGGGCTGTAAAGGCACAATGCCCTTTAGGATAAGGAGAGGAGGGGCTACAGCAAACATGTTTGTGGCATTTACATCCCAGGTGGTTTAGTATTAAAATGCCCTAAGCACTTCCTAAATCTGGCATTGTTCACAACTGGTTTCTCCCATCTGAGAAGTGTTTTTGTTGACTGATAGTCCTAATGTCGGCACAGAGGGGGATTTACAAGAGGAAGATGGAAAATGAATAGTCCTTCTGTGGACGTCCAGTTTGTTCCTTAATGTACAGGAGCTGATAAAGTTGACTAGATGTGTGTTTCCATAAGAAACTTTGCGTCACGTCTGAAATCTCTGGGGCTTTCCAAACATTTTCCTGGTGGAAGAGCTGCCTCAGCGCTACAGACTCCAAAGTAGAAAGGGGTTCTATGCAAAGCGAAGAATGAGGCTCATCATTTCGCCAAAACGTCTCTTTGCTTGGTTTCCTATCTGTTCCACCCACCCTTCTGGCAATTTCCTGAAAATTGGTATAACAACCTGTTGTGGCTCCTCAAGACGTGTATTTTCTTGCTGAAATGTGCATTTAGCAGCTTTGGACAGACCCTATTGAGGATGAATGCTCCTCCAGATGACCCAAGCTGCTCCAATCTATTGAATGCTCAACAGCCGCTTAGGTTGGTATTAGCTGCTACATCACCCTTTTTTCTGCCCACATTGTCATACTCAGCAGACAGACCAAGACCATGATGAGCCACAGGGATCCGATGACTCCTCCAGACGTTGTTTCTCAAGGTGTTCTTCCTGTTTCTTCATGAATACTATTATGTGTCCCTTCTCTAATTACAGACCTGTGCTGTACGGCTTTCTTGTACCTTCCTTTAAGGAGAATAAACAGATGTGTCTCATACTTTGGAAAACGTTCTCCTAGGGAGCTCTCCTCATTCCTCATGGGAGCATGAAGCAGGCTGGCGGATGGTTTGTTTCGCCAGTGGGAATCTCTATCCTCAAAGGCTGTAAACTTTCTGATTTTGCACATACAACCAGACATTGTCATGCTATGTGCAGTTCATGGACCCTTCCTTGGAGGTGCACCTCCTTCAATCCTCGCCATCAGGAGTGTACCATCTTCAAAGGTCTTGACTCCCTAGCAGCAGAGCCGTCCACATAGAGCAGACTAAAACCTTGTGAACAGGTTTCAGAGTGGCTTGGCTCAGGCTTGCCTTACCCTTCATGGCGCAAACACAGAACTACAAAACCACTGACTCGTGTGAAAGCTGGGTGCGAGCCGCGGGGAAGACAGAGTGTGACAGCCCCAGGTTTCTGCTTGGTGCTTTCATCACCCACCAGCACTGCAGTTTGTGTTGAGTTTTTCACGTGTGTGAATGTACAGTGTGACCTCTGTGTGCCCTTGGACAGTCCCGATTGTTTCCTTTGCCCTCTGTGGCTGAGCCAGCGTTCGTTTTGTTCACAAAGTGATGAACTTCAAATCTTCTCTGCATGACTGGGCTAGAATAAGCGCGCAAATACTGTTCTCACAGAACAGATGGGGAAAGCCTGGAAAGCGTGGCTGAAACTCACGCTCACCTTATTGGGTGATGTGATGTGATGTGATGTGGCAACTTCGGACTTTTTGTGGTGCCGGAAGGGCTGTTTTGAAAGCTGACTGGGGCTGTTCGCCCATTCAGCAAATGAGCCCTGACTGTCTTGTTTAGGCTGGAAATAGCCCAGAAAGAGGGGGGGAAAAAAAACCACCCAACCCCCAAAACCAAACCCAGAAGAAAACACTGTGTGAAAACTGTATCAGGTTATAATGGAAAAGAGTATCCAAGTGCTTCTGTTTTTTGCAGAGTTATCTTGGGTGTCTGTACGGTGTTGCTACTGCAGGGGTTTCTCGACCTACGTACTGCACCACGGGGATGCTTTGGGGTCATCTCCATAAGGTTTGAGCTCAGGTCTTCATGCATAATAGACCCTCAACAAACCAGGATTGCAGGAGGCAGAGTGTGGGACCAGATGATGTTTGGAAGGGGCAATGCTGCATCCAGATCAGTAGGTCCACTTTAGACACACATAGTTCTTCTTCTTCATGACCATTACAGAAGTAACCAAATAACACTTAGGCTGGGGCAGTGATGTTCCCATGGTGTTGCGTGTGCATTCTTCGTCCCTGAGGAGGTTCTTCAGCCTCCTGCCTCTGTTCATGGACTATCATGGTCCCGTGGAGCAAAGCTGTGGGTATCTGCACCCTTGGTTTGAGTCATTCAGTTTACATTAAGCCATCTGTATGTAAAGAAGGGGTGGCTTCTCTGGTGATAAGAGTAGTTTGGGGGAGACTTTCTGAGTTTAGCATCTAGCACCCATTCTTTTTATTTTGCACAGGATAAAATGTTTTCTTGCAGAATTAAATAAGGACCAGGCAGAGAATAAGCCCCCTTCATAGCAGAGCGATCTGAAATGATGGAGTCATCTTCCCTCCTTCTCCAAAAATAGAAAAAAAAAAAAAAAAGGCTTAAAAAAATCTAAATAAAACCCTCCAGACTGTTACTCAGTGAGCCTAATAGGACCCCACTGACTACATGCTGTTCTGTTGAAGCATTTGGAAATGAAATGCTGTCACATATCCAGCCTGACTTTACTCACAGATTAAGCAAGATACTTGTGCTTAGAAATTTCTAGCAAGCTTGAGTGCTCTCTAGGACCCGTGACAAACAACTTTATCTTTATGTCTACAAGACAGGGGGATTAAGTGGTGGCAGAAAAATAAGCTTGTAGATTTGTCCTGTCCTCTTGGTGCTCTGGGGTGAGAGCTGGCTGGTTGCTGTTTTGTTTTGCTTTTTTCCTGGCTCGGTTGCCTTCACTGGGAGGGGCCAGGAGGAGTTTGGGTTCCAGCTTGTTGACCTGTTTGCATGCCGAGAGCCTTCCTCTGGGACAAATCGCCAGTGCTGCTGCAAAAAATAGCCTTATGGTCATGCAGACCTTGATGTATGAAAACTTGCAAACTAATGAGATTACAGAATTTTTTAATGCTTCCCATTTTTCAGGCAAATTAAATTTAAGAGGCAGTGGTTACTAAGGAGAAAACATTGTCATTCATCTGTGCAGTCAGTTGTGTCTGGATCCAAACGACCACTTAAAACCAGGCTAGCTAACTATTCAAACTGCAAGACGTCCCTTGTTCTATGACACCGTTTCAGCCCAAGCTCCAGTTTGACCTGGCAAGGGAGCTTCTCAGCAGAGTTTGGTGACTTCAGGGAACTCAAACTCTTATTTAGCAAGGAACCCACCCGCATGTGAAGCTTAAAAATGAGATGTTCCCACCTAACTTAGTCACCTGACTCGGATGACCTTTGTCAAGTCTGTGCTAAGAGACTCGGGGTATTTCTTCCCATGAAGTATAAAGTGGGGTTCTGCTTCTATGTCTAACTTCCCAACATCTCAACACAAGGAGCATGAATCTTGCCTCTTGTTTGTAGCGATCAGAGGAGAGGCTCAGGACATCAGAGAGTACGCCACCAGCAGATAGCCTGAGTTCAGCTCTCCCAGGAAACAGCGCGAAGACTCTAGTTACATCTCTATTAGTAAATAAATTAGGTCTAGCCCCACAGCCAAGTGGTTATTGCATAGCTTATGCATAGCTAATTTCTCCTTACCTCCCAAAACAGCATGTCTATGTGCAAGCCACCCATTTCAAATGGTCCCTGGGCCATGCCTGAGAATTGTCTGGGGCACACATAAAACTGTGCCAAAGTCTCTGCCACCAATTTAGCAATGTAAATCTTAGCAGCATAATGCTGTATCCTCGTCTGCCTACTGTTGTGAACGTAGCCTTTGAGAGTGCGCTACAACCAGGCTAAGGTTAAACGTGGACAGACCATACTCAGTCCCTTGAGTTTGCTCTTTTGCCTCACAAAAGTAAAGGAAACTCAGAGCTTTGTATTTTTATCACCATTAGTAATATCAGCTGATTCTGTCCATAGAATCTTCACCATCTGCCCTTTTTCCAGAGTAGTCTCTGATGACATGCTATTAGCTGGCTGGGTTTGCTTCCCCTGATACGTTTCTTTCGGGATGTAAGGCTGGAAGGAGGAAGCTACTGGAGTTTGCTCACATGGGTTTGCTGCCTTTTTTTTTTTTAAGCGCTGCCCACTTCCACTTTAGGCAAGCTTTCCTTGTTGACGCAGAGTTGTGACATATAACCAGCAGTGCAGTGTCCTACTTGGAAAGGAGTAACACCAGACCTCCGTTCCTCTGGCGGGTTGGATGTTTGGCCATGGCTGGCGTGGCTCTGCAGCTCCGTACAATAGCTTTTAATGCCAAAAGATGTAGACTGAGGCACCTGGGCAGAAATCTGGTGAGACATACGGGAAGAGATGCTCTGCTTCATCCTTTGCTGAGTTGTACTTCAGGGATTTTCTTCTGGGAGAAGGAATCTGGCACTTAGCAGGATTAACACATATGAAGAAGTTTAGGGCCTTTCCAGTCCTGTGGAAGAGGTATTGTGGCCCCCCTCAGAAGACCTTCAACTGGGGTGTCAGGAAAATGGGCTGTAGCCTCGGTGGTCTTCTGAGATACCAGCTCATGTTGAGACATCGGGTTTCCATTTCCTCTTCTAACATTTTCAAATGCTTTTTGGGGACAGCAATGACATCTGTGTGTGCTGTCAAGAGCAGGAAAAGCTGATTGTTTGCAATGAGCACTGAAGCTTTGGTAGATACTCTTGCGTGGGAGTTTATGTGTGCCTTCTGTGTTATGTCCAGGACATGTGCACAGCTGAAGCAACTGCGTCTCTGCTCCAAGTAGAAGAAACCTTCTCAGCATGCCTGGCACGGATAGATGCCCTCATCCTCAAGCCTCTGCTCCAGGCAGGTAGGTCAAAGACTACTTTTTTTGTCTGTGGTTCTAGCCTTGAGTCACTGGCACACCTATGAAGGGAATTATAATTGAAACTTCATGGCTGAGGACTTGCTGGAGGCAGGTTTGCTGGAGTAAGTGGTATGTAGAGTTGTTTCACTTAAGATAGTGAGCTCTTAAGGATGACTACGGCCTTTCAATTCAAGCCTAGGACTGTGGTTCCTGTTGTTTTTAGAGGTTAATCCAGATTCTAACCAGTATCAGCCTGTGCACCTTGTGTCTCTGAGGCTTGTTTCCAGCATGATGTGTGGAAATCCAAAATGCATCTCACGCATATGCGACCCCTAAACCGTGCTCGTTCTGCCTCCCTGCTCTTGGTCCGTGGTCATGCCCATCTTTTGAAGATAAAACTTGTGGGTGCAGGTTCTGAGCTGGCATTAAATCAGAGAAGCTCCACTGAAATAACAAATCCATATAAATATTTACAAGCCTGTCTGGCCAAAAGTGGTGCGACTGGATTAGACCCGTAGGGTGGTTCCTTCTCATGTCACCACCTTTTTGGTCTAGCCTCCGAGGAGACCAGGAACAACCCTTTGGGCCAGGGACAGAAAATTTTCCTCCTGTGCTCGTGTCTGAGCTGGGACTGAGCCTCACGGGAAGCCCTGACCACATGCCCCACAGAAGGACAGAGCCTTAGCATGGATAGTCCGTGCAATACCTCACAGGGACCCAACCCTAAATCAACATCTCCTTCCTCTCCTCTTTGGCATTGTTTTCCTGTTTATACGCATGCTTCACACTGAAAAAATTGGGCTGAGTATTAAATATAGGGCATGCTTTCCACAAGCTTTCTTGGAGTCGAGGCTTTCTGATAGCCTTTCCCCCCCCCCCCATCTTTTCCTCAAAGAGCCTAGTGACCAGAAAGGAAAGGAGAACTTTAAGCTCCTCCTGCTCCTGAATGATCGATTTCAAGCTCTCTGGAACCTCACAGAAGAAAATTACCGGATACTGAAACAAAAATGCAGCACCTCTGAGTCACTCTGCATCCAGGACATTTACACTGTCTGGAAAGGAGACCTGTTTTTGAGCCTCTACATCCAGTAAGTACAGAAGCATTTTGGAGTAGTGTAAGGAACCAAATTTATCAACTAACTGGTAGGTCAGTGCAATTAATTTGTGTATTTAATTTTTTCAGTCTTTTCCATTAGTGTTCAGTTATTAGGTCAGGGAAGTGATTGCATTCAGTGCTCAGGACAAGTGCTGCAGAATATAGTGTTTGTGCAGACAGCATAATAAATAGGCCTTTTTGTAGGTGTGAATATACTTGTAAGAGGCAGAATTTTGCAAGTACAGTGGGTTTTATGCATCTTAAAAATGGGGAGAGGACAGGGGGACTATTTGTGCCTGGGGAATTTGTGAAAGAAAAGCTTGGGGTGTCATCAGGAACAGAAACGCGTACGCAAACAGGTTTAAAGGACTCGCAGGGATGAGGGAAGGAAGATGTCACTAGACACGGTTCATATTATGTGTTTGTGCCACATTTTTATGCTTTTGGCAAGGGATATGATGGCAAGTGATGGATGTAGCGTGATGTGAAAAACATACTACCTTATTGCTGTTTCTATAATTAATTACGTCTGCTCCCCATCTGTCTGCAACACAAAATAAAATGTTTACCAAAGTCACTGGAGCGTGCGTAACCTGGATGTTGATGTCCTAGCATGAAAAATGGTTTATGGGCATCTGAGGTGACATAAAGATCAGCCAGTGTTCAATCCTTCATCCATCACGTTAGCCACAAATGTGGCCAAGCCGTTGCCAGATGGGCTTGTGCCGTCTGTGCAATGGGAGATGGGCGCACTGGCTCCTGAAAATGCATGTGGAGGGAGGAGGAAGGAAGGTGTACTTTTTGTTTTGTTTTTTTTACTTGGACAGCATCGTTTTAGAAAGTGACACACAACAAACTTTGCCTTTATGTGAATGGAGTTTAGAGCAGCGTGTGGTGTTCGTTTTGGGAACCGATTCGGTGAATTAAAATGGGTTTGCCTTAAAAAGGCATGTAAAAGATGAAAACTTGTGCTGGGGTTTCAGATGACACAAAGGAGAACTTTATCATAGGATCTTATTTCCTCTCATTTTGAAATTAAAGCTTGTTTTTGTTGGGCGTCATGCAAAAATAATAATAAAAAAAAAAAAGGCTGGTTCCTACCCACTTCTGCTGACTCACTCTGCGCAGTCCCTGATCCTACAGCATCTCACGCTTATTGGAGCGATATAGGAGGAACCAAAGCTGCTGTTCAGGGGCCTGAAAATCAGCAGTAAACACGTGTCCCTCAAAGATGTAATAAAGGATAATTAGTCTGGACATTATACATTACTTATCTGAAAACACGACTGGAAGAAAGCCTGGTGTTTGTTGATAAAATATGGCTCGATCTCCCTCTAGTGTGAGAAGAGATGCATTGACGCTGGGACACCTTGACTTGAGTCAGGAATACAGACTTTTACTTCAACCAGCAGAAATTTGCGCATCCGAAGCTGAAATCTTAAGCTCAGCCTTTGTAGATCTACTTTCCAGGAGAGTTGCGCAAGTTTACTTCTGCTGACGCTAAATGCCAGGATGATTTAAACTTCCTGTAACGATACCAGTGCAGAAGTCAACAAGGCAGTTGGCAAAGGGGACAAAAGGGGGGTGAGGCAAGGTGGGAAGCACAGTAGCTACATCTCTCTGCCTCACATGGAAAGGTGGACCTGACATGACATTTTCAAATGAGTTTATTCCCTCGATCGCTTAAACCTCATGGCTAATGTTCATCTCTAACTCAGCTAACACTTGTGTGTGTTTGGTTTGTTGGTTTTTTTTTTCTTCCCAACAGATATTTCGTCACTTTTGCAAACTACGTCGTGGTCCACGGCTTTGAACATGCCACAAAGAGCAAAAGGTGAATGGGCTGAAAAACGCTTAGTTGAGGGGGCTGATAGGAAGAGAATGATATTGTATGGGTTAAGACACTACGCTGGAGTGAGCCGCACTGAGCACTGCGCCTCCCAGTGATCTCCGTTTCATGATCCAGCTGCCTGGCCATACTGGATGCCTCTGCCATCTTCTGAGACCATGGCAGCAGTTGCTGAAAGGTTTCCTCTACAGATCTCTCTCCATCTCCTCCCAGCCACTCGCAACTCCTTTTGTAGGAGAGGAAGCCTGTAAACCTGGGGGTTTGGGTAAGGGCTGGGACCCGAGAAAGGATGCTGTGGGAATCTGGCAGGAAATTTCCACGGCTTGTTCCAGATGTCATCAGAGCCTTGTGGAAATAACAAACGAAAGCATGAGCGCTAGTCGTGAGCAGATTCACAGACACTTTATCTGAGTCACAGAATCACAAAACGGTCAGGGTTGGCAGGACCCTCTGGAGCTCCCCCATCCCACCCCCACCAGAGCAGGGGCACCTCCAGCAGTGGCACAGGACGGCGTCCAGGCGGGTTTGGAATGGCTCCAGAGGGGGAGACTCCCCCACCTCTCTGGGCAGCCTGTGCCACTGCTCTGCCACCCTCACAGCAGAAAAGTTCCTCCTCATGTTTAGAGGGAGCTTCCTATGCTCATGTTTGTGCCTGTTACCTCTTGTCCTGTCACTGGGCACCACGGAAAACAGACTGTTCCCATCCCCCTGGCACTCTCCCTTTAAAGATTTATAAGCACGATAAGATCCCCCTTCAGTCTTCTCTCCTCCAGACTAAAAAGCCCCGAGTCCCTCAGCCTTTCCTCATCAGAGAGATGCTCCAATCCCCTCATCCTCTTTGTAGCCCTTTGCTGGATCCTCTCCAGCAGTCCCCCTCCTGCTGTGCAAACCACGGTGAACGTGGTGCTGTATTCTGTATGTTGGTGGGTGTGGTGCCTATTTGCAAAGCCCCCTGGCCCAGAGGCAGGAGGGATGGAGCTCTTGTTTGCCTCGCTGCCTTATTTCTGTGCGTTTGGTGTGCAAATATATTTGCACTACGTTATCTCCTGCTCTTTCAAGTCTCTGGGAGCGAGGTAGCATATAAAGTTTGGAAGGCAGAGGAGTGGCACTTTGCAGAAAACATAATTAATGAACCTTTGTCTTAATTCACCATCTTGCAGTGAAGCCTGGAAGCACCATAAGACCGTGCTGAAACAATTCCTCACAGACTTCACCTCTGAGACCTCCATGTCACTGGCCTTGTACACTGTTCTTCACAAACCTATCCGAGATCATATCGAACAATATATACAGCTCCTTACCAAGCTCAATGAGGTTCTCAAGGAGGTAGGAAGCTTTATGTGATGTTACTTGAGTGGCTTATGCTAACACCTTATGTAGGGTTTGTGGGGCTTTGTGGTGGTGTTAGTGAATCCAAAGCAGGCTGGAAGGAAAATTATTTCCAATGGAGAAGCTGGGGTGGTAGTAATCAATGCCAGGGGAGTGCAGCCTACCTGAAGGTCTCAAAGCAATGAACAGTGGCCACTCCAGTGTAGTATGAGCTACTCATAGAATCATAGAATGGTTAGAGTTGGAAGGGACCTTAAAGATCATTTACTTCCAACTCCCCTGTCATGGGCAGGGGCTCTCCCACTGTCTAGTGGTGCCCAGGTTGCTCAAAGCCCTGTCCAACCTGGCCTTGAACACCTCCAGGGATGGGGCAGCCACAGCTTCTTGGGGCAACCTGTTCCAGTGCCTTGCCACCCTCATGGTGAAAAATTTCTTCCTAATATCTATTCTAAATCTCCTCTCTTACAGTTTGAAGCCATTCGCCCTCGTCCTATCACTACATGACCTTGAAAAAAGTCCCTCTCCAGCTTTCTTGTAGATACCAGAAGGGGCTCTAAGGTCTCCCTGGAGCCGCCTTATCTCCAGGCTGAACAACCCCAACTCTCTCAGCCTGTCCTCATAGGAGAGGTGCTCCAGCCCATCATATACTCATCATATAGAGAAGCTGCAAAGGGTCAAGTGACTGGCCTAAGGTTGCACGCTTCTGCTGGTGGCAGAGAAAATGCTAGATTTGGGAGGCATTCCTTGCAAAGGGTGTTGGAATGTTAAGTCTTATTTGCCCTTTGGGTTCAGAACTGTTGAGGTTTTTCTGCAGCTGTAGCCTGGAGAGTAGATGTCCTGCACAGTCATGCCTGAAGTGTTGCTCAAGCCCTGTCTTCTTTTATCAGGGCTCTGAAAAGGACGTGGTTACCAGCGCCATCGAGGAATATGTGAAGCTGGAGTCTTTCATCAGCCAGGTCCTGGATGAAGCTTGTTTTACCAAGTCCTTATGGAAATCCTTGGGCTACAAATTCACAGTGAGTCATGGATGTAGAAAGTGGCTTGATGGGGAGCTCTCCTGGAGATCTTACACTTCTCCTTACACATGGAGGAAATTTAATACGGATTAAGCATTTGAGGCTTGGTTTGGAAGCCAACAGGGCAGGGCAGCGTGGAAGCCTTGGAGAAACCATATGGACAGTGGATGCTTTAGAAGTTGAGCCCTGTGTCCAGTTTGGCAGTCACTGTCAGCTTGTGCCACAAGTCAGACAGTCTCTGGAACTGTTGGATTGAATTGTACATCCTCTCCCAAATCCTGATGTTTCCTGATGCTTTTGATCCACCATCTTGACCTCTGTGGTTCCCTCTGCAGGACATGCTCTGTGTACCTGAAAGGAGGCTGCTGGAAGATAGCAAAAACCTTCCCATCTCCGCCAGCACAAATCGATCAGACCGGATCTTGCTCTTTGATGATGTCCTCGTGCTAATTCAGGTGAATCTTCAACCCTTCAGAGGGATTGTAAGGGCAGCACAGATGAATGATAGTAAAATTCAGGTTCCTTTAATCTCGAAAATGCAGCAGAGCTTGGCTGTTGGCAAAACCTTGTCTCGTATCTGGGCACCTGCAGTTTGCACTGGAGGATGAAAGAATGTCTAATGAAGAAGGAATAGAAGACCATCCATGCCACTTCTTCCCCCAGTAAATGCATACTATGCAATCACTGCAGGCACCTTTCTAGCAACCCAAGCCCATGTCTGCATAAGAATCTGTTGATTTCTGTCCTTGTTTATTCAAAGGGGGCCTGATGGGTCAAAGATACTATACTGGAAGCACTCCTGCATACGACTAAACATGATCTTCCATGGTTGACTCTGCTAGCAGCATGGGAGCAGAAGTTGCAGGTGTTCTTGGGGCTGTTTGAGGGATTTGGGGCCTGGGTGTGGGGCAGACAGGGAGCATCTACAGCCATGGGTAGCTAGATGAATAATCTGTGTTCAAAGCTGTTCTGCAGCATGTTAACTAAGTCCAGCTTGGCTTGCTCTGACTGACAGCACCTGTAATCTAGCACGGCTCTCTTCATGTGCACCTCTCTTCTGCTTGCTCTTTAGTCATGTGCCAGCCCCTCAGGTGTCCGAGCGCATGACTGCCTTGGGAGCTGATAGATCTTACGGTCTCTTCCGAACACGAGCCTTTATGATAAAGCTGGGCAGTCCTACGCAGCTTGCAGGGTCTAGGCCTGAGGAAACAGGCTGGTGATTATCATCTCCTCCAACTTTACATTGTAGATTTCTCGGCACTGTAGCGACCTCTCATTGAGCAAGTGCCCCCGGGGCTCCCTTTATAGTCAGGGGAGAGGAACATGCGCTGTCTGGGTGTGGTTCATCTGACCTATTTTAGATGCCAAAATTAGGATGAGTTGAATCACGTCCTTGACTCCATTGACTAGGACAAGAGCACAGGGTAACCAGCTCACATGGAGATATCTACATCATAGACATCTCTGTTCAGTCAAGGGTTCCCACCCACTATGTCTCATCTGCTGCTATGACTGTTATTGAGGCTTGAGGAGATATAACTGAACGGGGATTGAATTGGTTGGCCTGGGCTGCCAGCAGGGGACTGCTGATGAGGGCTTTGGTGCTGGGAATCTGAACCTCCTTCCCTCCTTGGTTCCCCCAGTTCTGATAAATCCATCAGTGATTAGCTTGTGATGAACTCCATAGTGCTAGTACCTAACCTTGGTCAACTACATCCCTACGGAGAGCAGCTCTGTAGTGTGGGCACCTGGACTTTAGACAAGAAAGGAAGATGTAATATTAAATGCAGTCTTTACCTAATATTTCAACCATTTTGGTTTCTTCTGTTTGGTGTGCTGTTGATTAAAATAGTGGCTCCTCCGACGTTGTGCTTGTGGGCTGCTACGTGGCCATGTCATCTCCAGTCCAGATCATAGGTAGATCATAAGCAAAACTAGGGAGTGCTGTGCACCAGGGATGATTTGGGAGTGTTTCCATGTGATAGGGAAGAAACTCTTGCAGAGATCGGTGCCATCTAAGAAGGTCTGTTACTGTTAGTAGTAGCCATGGCATTATGGGCTACTACTTCAGTGATAAGATAAGAACTTTCTGCCTTCTCCTACATTTCTTCGGTCTCCAAGGTCTGTCATCATAGTGTGGGATAGATGTGTGGACCACCAAAGAGGGAATTAAAAGTGCTTCCAGTCTTGCTGTGCTGTTCAGCGGATTGACAGAGCAGGGGCAAACTGTAATGTTTACATCGATAACAGGAACATCTTCTCCCTTTTGTTCCAGGGAAACAGCTTTCAGAGTTTTGATCTGAAGCTTGTGTGGGTAGATGAAAACTGCAGGGAGAAATCAGCTCCAGGACTGTAAGTGAAAAACTTCCTCTTGGAGGTTTAAAAAAAAAAAAAAAAAAAGCTTTCAACTTGATTGTGAAACTGAGAAAACAATTCAAAACTTTGTCCCCTCTCCTTTTCCCCAAGTGGGTTCTTGGGTTCTGGGCTACGGGTAATTGTAGCACCTCTCAGATGGGATCACAGCAGCTTGGACTTGCATTGCTGGCGTTTGCTGGCATCTTGAAATAATAATCAGTTTTGGCTGCAGACCTAGACAACAAAGCTTAGTTGACTCTTTGAGTGCCTCTTCAGAAGGAAAAACCAACTGCGAGAACACCATTAGCTTTTGAAGAGGAATGGGAAGAGCAGGAACTGCTGTTTGACTGGGAAATGTGTGTTTTTTTCAGAGTCTCTGTAATGTCTTTTTGCTCCACAGGTATGGACTCCGCATTATAACCCCAGAAGAAACATTCTTTCTCTCTGCCAAAGATCCGCAGATGAAGGTCAGCAGCGAGCAGGGTGTTTCTGTTCCGCCTGAAATACCCTGCACCGAGTTTTGAAATAGGGGAAGGGCAGAGAGGGGACAGCAGCTCCATAGTAGAGGCAAAACATTGACTGCTGGGTGGAAGTTGAAACCCCATTAAGCATCAGGATTTTAGCTTCCTGAGCAGAAGACAGATTACTGGGCTCTGCACTTGCTTAAATGCAGCTGAGGCCTCTCCTCTGTGTTTTTTTGCCATTTTTAAAAAATATTTAAAGCAGTATAGGGTTTGTTGGTTTTGTTCCCTGTCCCTCTGTGGAGCCAATTCTGTATCAGGTGGCCAGAGGTGGCTTAGATGGTTGACAGTAGATGAGAAATATCCAGATGCTGGAAGTGGTCTGCCATCAGCTGCAGAGTTTGGGACAGTACAGTCCCATCAGGATGGTCCTGTGCCAAGGCCAATTAGTGGTGGTGAGAGTTGGGCTTAAATGACATGGAATTGCTGTGGATTGGTGCAGTATCCAACTTGCAGGACACCTCCTGTTGATGCTGTAGATGGGCTATAACTCACCAGCCCAGCCAGCTTAATGGCACAGAATTGATGGGAACCCAACACCTTCTTGCTGCTTCTCCTGAAGTGTCTCCTGTTGGGAGCTGTTTTGCTTTCTTCATTCATTAGTGCAGCACTCCTCTTGCTCTACCCCCAGGCTGTTTGGCAGTGGAAGTTGAACCAGGCTGTCCGCCAGGCACTGAACGGGAAGCGGGATTTCCCACTATGGGGCAAGACCGGTGAAGGCACCGAGCCCCCATCCTGCCGCTTCTTCACCTATGTCTTCAGGCTGGAGGGCAAGTTCAAGAGCGCAGCCTACGAGGGCGAGTGGCACTGGGGAAAGCCACATGGCAAGTAAGGAGCCTTTTTTTTCCCCCTTTCCTAAGCAAGAACATGCAAGGATGGCTCTGCTGTCTTTGTGTAGCACTGTCCGGATCCAGTGGATGCACAGGTGGAAGTATAGATACCACAGAGTGGCTGTGAACATGGGATGATCCATCCCATGCTGAGGGCCTGGGATGGTGATGTCCTAGTGTGTGCCAGCCCCTCTGGTTCCTGCCTCGCTCTTTTCCAGAGGAAAATCTAGTATTGAGGACTGATTCAGGGGGCAGTTGGGACACATTTGCTTGCTTTCAGGGCTTGGTCAAAGCATGAGTCCCATCTGATGATACCGTGATCTACTGTATTGTAGATGTCTCACTAGTGATACTGGTGTGTGCAGTAGATTGAGAGGCTGACCCTAATAGCGTGGTAATGATCCCTTTGAAGGCACCGCGTTGGCTTACGCCTGTAATTAGGACTTAGACTTGAGCTAATGTTTATTTTCAAGATCTCAGCCTGAGGCATAAAATCTTACTGTCATGATGACAAAAAAAAAACCCACAAAAAAACCCCAACCAATAAAAAGCCTTTGCTTGTGAATGAGAGAAAAGTTTTATCCTGTTCTATCAAAATCTATTTAAACATCCAAACTGTTATCAAAGGAGTTAGAAAATAAAATTAATTACAAAAGAGGTTCAAATGTGATTTTTGGGAAACATAAGAACTGTTCACTCAATCCAAGTGAAGTTTAAGAGTGAGCTCTGCCAGAAGGGGAATGGTCTGTAAATCAAAGGTTAAATGATCCCAACCAAAATCTATTTGACATAGGATAGAGCACAGTCTCTGTTTTTGCGTAGAAACATGAAATATGGCCAACCTCCTCAGACACCAAAACAGGGTAATTTGGAAGTTCCCCAGTTTTACACAGCTTGTTTACAGTTGCTACTGAAGCAAAAAGTATATAGGGACTTGGTGTGAAAGAGCCTTAAAATAATGGGACTACCCAAAATCAAAAGCTTAATCCTGAATCTTCTGCGGAAGACATTGGGCCTTGCCCCAGAAGAGCATTAAAACAGGTGTTTGGAGTAGAGCTACGCCTGAGGCCATCCTTTACATCTTCTCCACCTTCCCCAGCACCTGCACTCCTAACAGAGAGCCGAAAACCGCTGTGTGCAGACAGAGGGACAAGCGCCTCTCCTCCTCCCTCTTTGTCTCCTCCTCCCTCTTTGTCTCCTCCTCCCTCTTTGTCTCCTCCTCCCTCTTTGTCTCCTCCTCCCTCTTTGTCTCCTCCTCCCTCTTTGTCTCCTCCTCCCTCTTTGTCTCCTCCTCCCTCTTTGTCTCCTCCTCTCTTAGGGTTGGAGAAATGAGACGAATTTCTCTGCTGCTTCACATTAAATGACTTGACTGAGGCATCCCAGGAAATTTGTGGCAGAAATAAGCAAATTCACGAGATTTTAATGCCTGGACTTTTAATTGCTTAATTACTAAGATGTCCTTCCCACTCCTGAAATAGATCTTCTGTGCAACTTGCTACTAATACAAGGTTGCAGAGAAGCAAAGCTGGTCTTGATGGCTGGTCCACCTGTGAGGGCGAGACTGGCATGGCAAAGCACGTGAGCAGAAAGCTGCAGCAGTGTGAATTGGGGTCTTCAGCAAAAACATCTGCATTCTTCACTGTTCTGTCCCAGTACTCCCGATGACCTGGTGTGGTGGAAGGAGTTACTCCCACTGAGGAATAGCTTAAGCCATTCCCGTGGCCAGGCATTCTCCTTGGCTTGCTTTCCTTTGCGAGCATTCATGCTAACAAAGCAAAAGGAGATGTATTTTAAATCCACTTAAAATTAATCTGACCACTTCCCTGTAAATACCAGAAAAAGAGCTTGTCTCATGTAGGTGTTTAAAGCAACAACCTCGGTGAAAGTCAAACGAATGCGTGCGTTATGGTTTTGGTCGTGCACCATCTTCTGTTGTCTCTGGTTGGGGAATGTGTTGGGAGCTGGCTCTGTCTGGAGTGATGCAAGAATTAAAACAGTGAGTGGGTGTGGGTGGAGTGGGAGACCGGGAGGGAGGGAAATGCATTCACAACTGGGCATGGCCATGCAAGTAATTCGACCATTGCGTTGACTGTTCCAGTCTCGTCGTTGCATTGTTAACTCGTGTAATCATTTCTGCAACCCCCACACAAAGCAGATGGAGAGATATGATCCCTTTAGGGCCAGTGCTTGTCCCTTTTGTTTTCACAGTGTCTGGCACAATGGAGTTCTGGACCGTGGGGGTCATTATGTTGTCAACGGGGATGTGCCATGCTGGAACTTCGGCTGGCTTAATCACATGTTGCACTGTAATTACAATAGGATCATGTGCAAGGTCCTAAATGGATGATCCAGCAACTCTACAAAATGCTTTTGAGATTAGGGAACTTGGAAGAGGATTTTTCCTGCTCGTTCCAGGGCATGAAAACGTTATGGTATTAAATCTTTACAGTGCCAACCAAGGTCCCAGAGGTGCCTGGAGAACTTCTGTGTCTCTGTTCCCTGAGGAAACATTTTGATGTTAGCCATTGCTAGCTCGTACCTTGATACCTTCTGTTGCAGCTGTGAATGTTGCCAGTGATCTCCCTTGTGTAACGCTTGCTTTGAATCACAGGGGGACACTGAAGTGGCGTGACGGACGCAACCATGTTGGAGATTTCAAAGAGGGCTTGGAGCATGGGTAAGCCTTAAAAAATAGAGCCTTTCTTGCTTTCAAAATAAGCTAAGAAATGGTTTCTCCCAGAGGTACAGGGAAACCGGAGTCTTATAGAAGGACTACCCAGGGAGGTGGTGAAGTCGCCGTCCCTGGAGGTATTTAAAAGATGGGTATCCATGGTGCTGAGGGACATGGTTTAGTGGTGGTTTTGGCAGTGTTAAGTTGATGGTTGGACTCGATGATCTTAAAGGTCCCTTCCAACCTAGACAATTCTGTGATTCTATGGCTTGATTCACTGTTGCAGCCCAATTCATCTGGCCTATTTTAGACACTGGCTTAGTAGATTGTAACCTACACTGAGTAGGTAGGGAGAGGACCAGTTCAGATGCAAACATCTCTTCAGCTGGATGAATCTGACCCCAGATCTCCAAATCTACGTGTGTGTGTTCATGTGAAATAACTTGAAAAATTTATTTTTAGAAATCTTTAAAAACCTCTCATAAATGAAGTGTTTTCAGGGGAAATAAGCCATACTATGAAATTAAAATAATTGTTTTCCTAAAACTTTTTGAAAATAAGACTTTTAGATTTCTCGTTTCTACATTAATGGCTCCAGAATAGGTTAGGTTTTTAAAGGGGAAAAAATGTCTCAAATACTTTGTGTCATGATTAAGAAAACATTTTGTTTGGACCAAAGCAATTACTTTGGTAGTCTAACTCAACTCCTAAATTGGGGAAGGGGGAGAGACAGAAAAAAAACCTCCACAACACTGAAAGTAGCTCTGTAGAAAAAGTAGTGAGAAACTGTGACTACAGTTCACAAGGAAACGAGCTCTTCCTTAGAGCGATTCTGTCGACACCTGGAAATAGTGTCAGGGCAGAGCTGCCCCCAGCCATGCAAATCAGCTTGGGAGTCTGGAAGGTCCTTAGTTTTTAAACTTCATCCACTACAACTGAGTCACCTTTTGCCATGCTGACCTCTGCCATGTGCACGTTGTAGGTTTGGAATATGCCTTGTCCCGCGCCGATCTGAAGACCGGTATGACTGCTATAAGTGCCACTGGTACGAGGGCAAGATGAGAGGCTATGGAATCTGTGAGTAAGTAAAACCAAAAGATGGAATCTCTGGGGGGAAAAAAAACGGGACTCCACTTATTTAGCGCTCCCACCTTACTGTGGAAGGCTCAGTCACAGTGTAAAACCGAGAATAATTCAGGCACCAGAAGATTTTGCTTTGGAGATGGGCACTATGGCTTCTTCACAAGCCCTGAGTCTCCTGAGCATTAGAATAGTAAGAGCTTCTCTGCAAGCTATGACCATTGTGACTACCTGATGTAGCATCCTCTGTGCCCTAGAGGTGAGGATATAATTTTGCATTCATGCTTGTGGTTGCAGAGCAGAGCACGTGGTGTGCCATCAGCCCTGGACAGGTTTGGTGGAGCACACAGCTCACTCGGTGTCCCGTGGCCAGGCTATCTGGACCAAATCTTGTGTAGAGTAGTTCTTTAATAGTGGATGGGATTGTTGCTCTGGGAGTCACAACTGCAATCCTGAACTGCTGAAGGGGTCTGATTTTCCTTGTTGGCTTTATCTGCTCACTCAAATTCTGAGCTTAAACCCAGAGCTTAATTTTAGCAACGGAGCCTGAGGTTTTCTTATTTAGTCACCAAAATGCTTTTGCAAACAATCATTTGCACGCTTGTGTCTCAAAGCGCTGCTGGGAATTTGGATGGAGCCTGGTCTGTAAAGCACCGTATTGTGGGCGCATGATGGTGTCTGGGCCTTACCCACCATCTGCCTTCCATGTCGAAAGCCAGAAATGGCGTCGGAGGCCTGCTCAGTGGGTTGTAGGAATAAACTGGTTTCATTTGCAGCCTACGGGGTTAAGTGGACAGGGCAAGCTCGCTTTTCTTTATGTAGAAGCGAGCGCAACACCATCCTTATCTTTGCTTAGGTCACATCTGGCTGGTAGTCAAATGGGTTGGCCAATATGAAGACTGGACTGCCCATTATTACTGCACGCGCTTACCCCTGCTTTCATGCAGCCAACCGCGGCAGAGGAAAGCACGCAGCCCAGCTTTCCAGCTGCTTACTATGGGATAGGCCATCTTCCTTCCCACAGCCCGCCTGTTGTGCTCCTTGTTTGTGAATCAAACTCGGAGTAGAGGACATGCAGATATATCTTGGGGGACTTGGAGCCAACTGAGCAGTGGTGCGCTAGTGTCTCTGGTGTCAAATGTGAAGGCACGTTGATAATTATAGATGATAGTGGTCTAGCGGGAGGTGTCCCTGCCCATGGCAGGGGGGTTGGAAGTAGGTGATCTTTAAGATCCCTTCCAACCGGGACCATTCTAGGATTTTATGATAGCTCTGCTTAGCGTAAGTGCTTTCTCTGTTGTAGCGGTGAAGATCTGCTGGCCAGCATGGACAAAGCTAAAGGGAGCTCTTCTCAGGGGGATGAGCCCAGGAGAAGGGGTGGTCAGTGAGCATAGGAAGGTGAAGGCCGATCTGGCTTCCTGTTTGATCCTTTCTACTCCCACTCCGGATTGACCAGTGGTCACTGCAGCCTGGCTGGTGAGAGGTCAAGGACTGAGCGGCCTCTCCCAGGACAATTGTGTTGCGTCCTTAGATAATGTTGAAGACTATCTGTGGAACGACTAGCTTGGGTGATGCACGTTCCTAATAGCAAACAACTACCGGCTCCAGAGGTATCAGTCAAATACTTAGAATATTTAGCAGGCAGATGATCTACTCCCTTTCCTGGCGTCCTACTCCAATGGTAGCTATCACATAGGTCTTAAATTCTGTCTGTCTCTCTCCCTGCAGGTATGGGAACGATATGGTCTACAAAGGTTACTTCAAAAACAACGTGCGTCAAGGGTTTGGGATACTAGAGAACCTCTCAGCTGAGCATCCGTTTAAATACACAGGACAGTGGGAAAATGACAAGAAGAATGGATATGGAGTGTGGGAAGACAAAGATAGGTAAAGGTGGTGTAGATCAGAGCTGGCTTTAGGTGTCTGACAGTTTTGTCCCTCTATTAGCAGGGGTAAAGCCTCATGTTTTGATGGGGTGACTTGGGGATGAAGGGGGGATGTGTTCAGCCTCTGCTATAAGGGCTTGAACTCTTGGGGAAGTGTTACATGAATTGAATTTGTGCAGTACCTCTGGCACTTGTGCAGCATAGAGCGTTACATCAGGTAAAACTAGCTGCAGCAAGCGATACATCAAATTGACTGAGACCTAATAAAACAGGGAAAAATACTAATTTGTTTTCTACTGCTTTCCAGAGGGGAGAGATACATAGGGACATGGCTTGACGATCACAAACATGGACAAGGCATTGTAGTAACCCAGTCAGGTGTCTGCTATCAAAGGACATTTCATGCGGATAAAATGGTGGTGAGTACCCATTTTTAGTGGATTCTCTACCTCGACGGGACGTGGAATTCCCCATCAAGGGCAAAACTAAGATTTTGCTTCATAATCTTTGAGGGGGAAATAGAAAGCAAGAAAATGTAAGAGCTGATATTTTACCGTAATTATGTTTTTGAAGAACAGGGCCTAGATTAAATCTTGTTTCGTATCATCTTCCTGAGCAGGAGGTAGGAACTAGATGTAAGACTGTCACTTTTCCTTGCTTGTACTAAGACACCTTGTAGGCCTGGCTGTTTGACTGACCATCAGGTCACAATTATAGACCAGAATTCATATGTAAAGTGCTCTACAGTTATATAAGTTACTAAATCTATCTTAGAGATCATTAAACCTTTACCTTTCCAGTGTGAGGTTACCTATAACAAGTTGGCTGTCCAGTTCATTGAAAGGTTAGATGTTGATGTGGAAAGCAAAAGGGATTGGCATTGTGAGGACGGGCTTGGAAATAAAAGCATTTCTTCTCAGAAAAAGTACGCGCTTAAAAAAAAAACAAACAACCCCTTCCCCACTCACCAAATTAGGACAAAATGTTTAGCATGGAAAGTTTGTCGGAAGGCCTTTCCATAAAAACCCCATCCACGGGGAACCAAAATAAAGCTGCCTTTTGGTCTGCCGGCTGCCAAAGGCTCCTTTAATTTCACAAGGCTTCCGGGTGGGGAGCAGTCACTTCAGCTTTCCTAGTGGAAAATTGGTAGAGCCAAGAAGCTTCCCTTGGAAACCTTTTATTTTTGCCAGAAAGGGCGCTTTCCATCAAGAAAACCATTCCAGCGGAAAATGTGTTGCAGCTTTAAAAGTGACCACATTTTCTGGCTGGTACGGGTACGTATGAACCTTCGGGGCCCAAACCATGGGCCCCAGCAAGAGGAATCTTCCTCCATTGGTATAAATTATCCTGTGCCTGTTCTGCATCTTGGTGCTCCTTCCCTCAAATGTGTGCTACCGTAAGCAACCGTGGGATTTGGGAGGTCACGGAACGAGTTATTTTATGAATGCTTAGGAGTAGCTCGTTAAAGCCCTGGTGACTGCACAGCTAATTCTACATAGCAGCTGCCTTCCTCTTTTCTCTTAATTGTCTTGCAAAGAATGACACAATTGGCTACAATCACCTAAAGGGCATAGGACTGGGAGGACCATGAGTTTGACCTGTATGGCAATTCTTGGTGATGGTTCTCAGAACAGGAGCCTGCTTTTTGTTCCTTGTCCTAGGGAAATAAATGTAATAATACTGTTGTTTAAAGCCTCCTGACTACCCAGTGCTTCTCCTCTGTGCAGTGATGCTTGATGGTTTATCTCTAGAGCACCTCCTTGCTTTTCTCTTGAGCGTTGCAATGCTATGTTGGGCTTTCAAAAAGGTTCTGGGAATCGGCAGCCCAGAAATATTCCAAGTCAGTGACTGTTTCTAGATGAACTCAAGTAGGTCGGAAGCTAATGTCATGAATTCACTACTTCTGCTTTCAAATGCAGGGTTCTGGGATTCTGCTCTTGGAAGATGACTCTGTCTATGAAGGGAACTTCACGGAAGATCTAACGTTTGTTGGAAAGGTGAGCACTTCCTTCATTAGCATTTCTATACAGTTGCTTACTTCCCAGAAGGGCCGATGGATTCATCCTCAGAGTTCATACCCTCCTGCTCCACCTCCCCCAGTACCATAGAAAATAACATTTTCCTGGTTTGGTTTGGGTTTGTAGCTTTTTTTCTTCTATTATCAGTCTCATTCACAGAAGGAAGGCTGCAGCAGAGAGACTTCAAGTAGCTGTGGGCTTTGAGCATTGTTTTGGTATTACTGTTTTGTTTACATTGAGGGTTTGGTGTTTTTTATTGTCTGTGGGACATTTTTGGCTGCACTTCGCAGCTGCAGCTGGGATGCTTTTGTGTTCTTTGAACAAATGTTTCGGCCTTTGTAGTTGTTGGGAACACAGGAAACGATGTATAAACCAAACGGAGTTGCAGTACCAGCACTACGCTAACGCAACCGGGATGTTAACAGAGCTGAGGGATCTTGGAAGCTTAATTTTGCAATCCAGACACTGCACTGACACGTTCAACATTTTGCGGTTGATCTTTAACTGAAACATCTGGTCAAAGTGTTCATTAAGTGCCCCGTTGCAGGGAAAACCAGTCCTCCGGCTTCTTACAGAAGTCTGTGATGAGTCTGACAGGAAACGTGTGGTTATATCAGAGTGAGTGGATGTCAAAATAGACACTTGGTAACGATTGCAAATGAGTCCTATCATTTACTGACTTGTCACGGGAGGGAGGGTTTGTCATCATCTCCCTGAGCTAGAAGACTCGGGTTGGATTTTGCAGAGACTGATTATAGTGCTTAGATACTGCTTTCTCCAAAATTAACATTTAGGTTTAGTGGTTAATCTAGAAAAATCTGTTCTCTGTCTAAAGATGGAGTGCCTCCTGCTATTAGCAATGAGGATTTTGGGCTCGTATTCAAAGCCAGGCTAGTTATGATATTGTTTGGCTTTGGATTTGAGTTAATTAAAATTTCTAAGTTTGAGTCAAGCTACTGCATGTCTTCTGTATTTGCCTCAGAGAATTTAAGGTTTTTCTTGGTAGCAGCAAAAGTTTTGAAAGTGTTTATGGTGAATATCATATGATTCCTCCTACCTGTGAGGCCAAACTTGCTTGTGGTTTTAACAAGCAGAGGAAAAACAGAGGAGAAATTGAGGTTTCATGTGTTCGCTCTAGGATAGAAAAAACTATTGTCAAATTTAAGCCAGAAAATGTTATAATTCAAACAAGATAATGGGTATTTGTAGAGCATAATGCAAATGTTTTACTCTGCAATTGTGGTGGTCTTTCCCCTCCAGAATCCTACACGTGTCATTCAATAGCAAGGAGATGTTTTCTCCGGTGACTTGTCACCTTAATGACGCTATTGCTTTGGATGCTGAAAATGTGCATCTTTGTGCTGGAAGTTGTTCTTAGTTGCCGTTTCAGGAGCTGGCTCTGTTGAAAAAAGAATTTGAGATCTCAGTCCAGCTTGTTTCCTCTCGCTAATGAGATCTTGGCAGAGTAACCTTTTATTTCTCCGTTGCAGGGAAAGCTGTCCTTTGCCAATGGCTTCATTCTGGAGGGAACCTTTACTAACAAATCGGGCCAAGGCCTTCAGACGCACGGCATCCTGAACACGTCGAACGAGCAGCTGGATGACAGGATAACCAAAGCGTGAGCAACAAGAGTCGACTTCTCGGGTCATGGCTTATATTTTGACTCTACCTAGAGGAGTACTGGATCAATCCCTACAGGGACTCAGGCAGTCCTTGCTGAAAGAGTCGATCTAAAAACTGGTTTATATGCAAAGAGAGAAGGAGGAAAGGAGAGCAGAGTTTGTCATTTAATCTTTATGCCACATAGGAAGCAGAAAACAAATGTTCTACTCCCATCTGACCACTGTCCACCCGGAGATACTCCCATCCTCAGACTGGAGAGAGTTTTGGAGGCTTAACATTTTCAGTGATTTGTGTGTGTGTGCGTGTGTGCCCACGCGCACATGCATTTCTGTGGGTACGCACAGACAGGTCTGAAGCTGTACAGGCAAAGGCGGGCTGCTAAAAAGCATCACTTGCTCCTTTCCTCTCTCTCTGTGCTATTACATGAATATTACCAGCTGATATTGTAGAGGTAGAATCATAGAATTGTCTAGGTTGGAAGGGACCTTTAAGATCATACAGTCCAACCATCAACTTAACACTGTCAAAAGCACCACTAAACCATGTCCCTCATCACCATGTCTGCCTGTCTTTTAAATAACCCCAGGGATGGCGATTCCACCACTGCCCTGGGCAGCCTGTTCCAGTGCTTGACAACCCTTTCCATGAACAAATTTTTCCCAATATTCAATCTAAACCTCCCCTGGCGTAACTTGAGGCTGTTTCCTCTTGTCCTATCGACAAGAGGACCAAAAATCAAGAAGTGAAGCACAGCACACAAAGCTCTGAAGAGCTTGAATTGGGTAGTGCTCTATGTGGAGGAAGACTGTGGAGCCAGGATCAGAGCTTCACGGGGCGCTGATGCTGTTTTGGCAGGCAATGATGTGAGTGAAGGGCAGGAGTAACAGCTGAAGCTATCGGGCCACATCCTTTGGTGTTGACTCCTATCTGGGGCTGAACCCTGCCAAGGGTTGCCAGGCTGGGAGGCCTGTGTTCAGCCAGTTTAACCCGAATGAAGGAGTCCCAGTGGGAAAGACAGCTGCCTGTCCCCTCTCACAAAACCCAGTTCAGTTTCCTCTTCTTTCCTCTTCAAAACATTTCCAGTCCATCAGAGTGCCTATGTTGCAGAAACAGCTCCTGTTTCTTGTGCCTTTCAGACAGCAATAACTATTGGTGGTGATTGCTCAACTGTCTTCTTGCTCTCAGTGTTTTCTGCAGGCTTTCAGTTTAAATAAATAGTCTATATTTACAAATATCCCTAAGTGGAGCAGAAAGCCTGTGATCAGTTCACCAGCAAAGATTCAGATTGTTGATGTTCTGCGCATCAGGAATTTTTCTTCACCCAAAGTACTTCATTGTCAAGACTGTAGACTTGACCTGCTTTTCATTGAATCACCACTTAGGCACTGCCATCTTTCTCTGCTCCCATAGTTCTTGTGTTAATATCTGATTCTGGAGGTCCTTCCATATTTCAAGGTAAAGTTTGAAGTGATTGAGGAGGGATGCATAAAAGCCTAATGCCACGTTATGTTTCACAGTCAGCTGGGCCTGGAGGAGTTCCCAGTGGAGAAGAGATGGAAGGGAATCTATGACCAGTTCCTGGAGTTCATCCATTCTGGCTGCAAAGAAGAAACGGAGGAGTCTTTCACAGGGTTCCACATACAAACGAGCAAGGAGCTGCGGAAATCTCAGGAGTACCTCTTCTGCCACAGGTATGAGTGTCACAAGCCCTCATTGCAACAGAGGAGCCCGTGTGTGTAGAGAGGAGAGTGGTTTACATTAGGGTGTGCCACGTGTTAAAGTTGTGAACCCAAGCGTTACCCAGTTGTTCCTGCTCATGGGACAGGAGGATGAATTTTCAGCCTGAATTTAAAGTTGTGGTGTTGAGACTGATTCTCGTAAGTGAAAACTTGGATGGGATTAATTTGATTAAAAGTAAGCGTCTGCACATGACCCAGTCATCGTTGGCTCCTCTTGTATTTGAGGGAAACCATCATCAGCTGAGCAAACTCATCTCCATCTTCCTTTAAGAAAATATCTAAAATAGATAAGACGAGCATGTGCAGGATGCAACCCAGGCTGATTGTAAGAGGACACGAAGGCGAATTTAGACAATCACAGGTGTTTTAAGTCAGTGGGGCAATTACACTGAAAAGGGTAGAGAAAAATTCATTTGTTCTTAATAGTCTTATTGCCTCCTTGGTATCTGTCTGCAATACCACTTGGGATTTATCCCAGTGCTTCACTGTGTGCTTTTTCTTCCTCACCTCTCATCTTTTCAGGGGGACTGAGGATGTATCCTGGAAGATAGAAGATATTCTTGAAGAGCTTGTCCAGCACCAGGGGCTGGAGTCACTACAGAGTTATTTAGAGAAGGTAAAGTTTAAAACCATAATGATCCACGTTGACACCAGACATGGGCACAGGTTGTAGCGACTTTCTGTTAGCAGATATATCTTTGCCAGTGACTTCAAGAATCTTCTCTAAATTATGTGTGAATACCTATGGCTTGTGAAGAGAAGGATTATCCTTCGTGCTTTTTAGATGCTTATTTTGTGTACAGCTATACAAGCCAGGAAGTGATGATAAATCAAGAGTGAACTTGGTTCTCAAACCATGTCAGGGAATAACCAGCTGCTGGAGAGATTAATAAACTTCCATGCACTCTTGGTGGTTGTGTGTGACTCAGCCAGCCTTTCCCTGGAGCACCCTTCGCTCTCTCTCTTGAATATCACAGCAAATTTCATCAGAACAGCAACTCTGCTGAGCACATTTCTGCCTGATAATGGGAGGAGAATGGGCTTGTGGCAGCAAAACCAGACCAAAATTATAGTTGATTACCTCTAGGCTTGTTCTCCTTTGCTGACAAGAGAAGGTTGGGTGTCCTTTCAGTGTTATCCTCTACTAATGGCAAGGGCTGACTTGTAAAATTTAATTTTACTCTCTCACACAGGCATTGAAATCTTCCCTAAACCCACTACACTGGGAAAGCTGCTGAAGGCCTTGACGATAGCTTTTCAGGCAACGTATTCTGGGATTGGGGCCAACAGACACTTGCTGACTATGGCACAAGAGGAAGTCAAGTACTACGCAAAGAAAATATGGGAGTTTTACCAGTAAGTCAAACACGCTGAGTCCTTCCAATGGGTATGAGCGTAGAGGACTTGTGGAGTAGACCATTGGGACCATTTTTTTCAGGTGACAGGGCTGCTTTATTTTACAGCATATTTTGGGGGAGAGTTGCTTTCAGAATGGTGCTAGATAAAGAGTTATTTGCAATAACTGAGGTCGTATGGACCTAGAAAACTTTTATTATGCCCATTGCTCAGTACACAACTCAGGGGCTTTAATGTGACTAAATCTCACTAAGTTATGGCAGCTCAATGAGCTGTTGCCCAAAATAAGACTTCTAGACAAGCACCAGTATCATAGAATGGTTTAAGTTAGAAGGACCTTGTAGATCACCTGGTTCCAACCCCCATGCTGTAGGCAGGGACACCTCCCACTAGACCAGGTTGCTCAAAATATGAGCAGGAAACCTCACTAACGAGGGCAGCAAAGTATATCAGAGCACACAACAGTAGTGTTTGATATCTGTGTTTCAATGAAAAATAGCTTAAGCTTAACATGCCTCAACAGGAGTTAAGAACGTGCAGTGTAAGCGCGTTGTTGAGTCTCAGCTGATGTGGGCACTGACTCTAAAATGAGGTTGTTTTGTCGTGTGGTTGTGCCCATGGGTAATTAAGGACTAGATCAAAGGCGTGATTGGGGTCCTGTTGCTGTCTGAATATTTTTTAGGGGAAGGTACAAGAAATGCCACAGTAGGCAGAGGTGGGGAACTCTGCCTCTAGCTGCACTCAAGGTGGTATTGCCTTAAAAATAAGAGGTTGGATAAAAGCTCTGCCGTTATCAGTGTAGCCTCGTGTGCTTGAGGAAGGCTGCCAGCTCTGTGATGAAGAGTTGTCTGGCCTGGAGCAGTCTGAGAACTGATGGGAACAAGTCAGATTTGATTCAGTTCATCTGAGCCGCATTCATGAACAGGACAACAGGGCTGACAACCTGAGCATCGTTTCATGTGAAGGTGCTTCTGAGCCTGGAAAGCTTGCTTCATGTCTCAAGACCTTTCAGATGCAGTGTGAGGAGAGGGACCTCCCTTGCTCTGCTGTGCCCCTTGCTGGGTTTCCTAGGCTGATACTTCTATACCAAAAAAAGGCAACCTCTCCCTAATCCCCATTTTAAGATTATGAAGTTTTGGCTTGGAAATATCAAGACAAACCCAAGCTACTTTTTCAGACTATGAACATCCTCTAATGTTCATAGATGGATTAGGGAATTGGTCAGTCATAGAATCATAGAATAATTTGGGTTGGAAGGGACTTTTAAAGGCCATCTAGTCAACCCCCCTGTCATGAGCAGGAACATCTTCAACTAGATCAGGTTGCTTAGAGCCCTGTCCAATCTGGCCTGGAATGTTTCCGGGGATGGGGCATCTCCCACCTCTCTGGGCAACCTGGGTGAGCCTCTCACCACCCTCACCGTAAAAAATTTCTTCCTTCTATGTAGTCTGAATCTCCCCTCTTTTAGTTTCAAACCATTACCCCTTGTCCTATTGCAACAGGCCCTGCTAAAAATTTTGACCCCATCTTTCCTAGTCCCCTTTTAAGTACTGAAAGGCCACAATAAGGTCCTCCTGGAGCCTTTTCTTCTTCTGGCTGAGACCAGGTCCTGAAACCTTATGCCCCTTGAGTGGGAATACAAGGAAATGGTTCTCAATGCAGACCACAGTTATGATCTCCAGAATGACCACCCAACTCTTCAGAAGTTATGGAGATATTAAAAACACTCATTCATTCCTGGTGGCTTCTGATGATGATGGAAAAAGCCCTCAAGTTGTGAAACGTGAATACTAAAACAACACAAGGATTACAGAGAGCTTTACTAATACCCGACTTGACGCTGGGACAGCTGAGCTCCTCGCTTGTGAATAACAAATTACCTTTAAAAAAAAAAAAAAAAGGAGGGAGGGAGAGAACTAAACCTTGGTTCTGTTCCTCTTCTAGGGGTTTGCTCCATCTGGCGCTGGAACAGAAAGGCCAACTGCCCACAAAGTGTGTGGATGGAGACATGAGGTATGTGTCACCACTGTTTGTTTAATTTTAAGGTGCTTGGATGTATTGGGTGTCTTTTAAAATACATTAAGTGCTGAACTGATTGTATTTGTCCATTTGAGTCAGGTTTAGTGCCCACACTTCTCTCTGAGTGCAAAGCTTTCAGTAGTTCTGCTTGAAGCATGGCAGCAACTTCTTCTAATCGTGTTCTGCAGTAGGATAGAGTGGTGAGTTGGAGGTGTGTGTGGCACACAGCTTCGCGAGGTGACCCACACCAGGTACCGTGCGGTAGCATGGTTGCGTGTGAAATGGTAGTCCCAGCGCTACCACGTGCTTTGCATTAGTCACAGGAACTTGTTCATTGTGGGGGTGGTGACTTTCATACCAGCACTGAGAGAAAGGCAAACCTGGAAATAGGGGAGTACAGTGTGGGAAACCGGGCAGAGGAAGTAGAAGACATGATGTTCCTAGAATAAGAAGGTAGAAATAACTGTGAGAGACCCAGGTTTAGGGGGTTTGGGGGTGGGAAGAAGCATCTTTGTTCAGCTGTCCCCATTTGGTCTGGATTTCTCTTTGCTGTCATCTGCAGCCATCCCCACATGGGCTGAATGAGGCCAAGAGGTTGGTGGAGTGGTAAGCAGCTGGAAAAGGGCTTTGTCTGAATTTATTTGGTCTTTATCCCTTAAGAAATAACAAGTCCTCTACTTAAACAGCTCAGAAAGAAGAGCTGGAGATAGGTCTCTGGTGCTTCAGGTTTCTCCCAGTGACTAAGATCTTGTGGAGAAACAGTACCCTACCCTGTTCTATAGCATAAGATGCACCTGCATCTTCAGCTTGTGGGCACACACATGAGAGCATTGTACAGATCACTACTGTCCAACTGTGACGTTGAACTTAGAGGTGGAGGGCAGAGGTGAGAATGAGAAGAACGCCCTGCAGTCTCAGAAACTGCCTCTTCCATTGTGCTCTTGGTAATGTCAAGGTTGTAGGTCTCACTGTAGGTCTCTGCTTTGCTTTTGTCTGCCATAGCGACCAGAAGGCATGCAGCGTGGTCCTGCCGCTGATCTTGCCCTGCTTCTACCCTGAACTTTTCATGCTTTACATGCTCTATCACGAAAGAGAAGATGACCTCTACTGCCAAGGGATCGTGGACCTAAGTCTATTTCCTGACATCAAGCTGCTAGAATTTCTGGATGTGCAGAAGTAAGTGATGTTTTTTCATCCCAGGATGCAACCCCGTGATACCAGCTGGGAAGGTAGCGGCCAGGAAAAGCTCTGATGGCACAGGAGGAAAGGACATATAACCTATTCCGGGGTCCATCACTGACTGTGGCACTGAAGTTTTCCCTAATCTGTCAGAGGAAGTCCTGTCACAGAGTGCCTGCAATACTGTCTGGAACAACACTGACTAGTGGAAAGCTGCAATTATCTATGCTAATTTGCATTTTCCTTCAGTGAAAATCTTTTCTAGCTGACCAAACAAATGGTTTGCCCCAACACAGAAATAATCAGATATAGTTTATAGATATCTCTTAGAAAGAGCGACAGTCCAACAAATGGTACTTCCCATAACAGTGTGGGCACACAGGCTCGACACAGGGGAAAGGCTATGGAGCCAGATGTTTCCTCCACCCATTCCTGCAGCTGGATCCATCTTTGGAAGTGAAGTGTGAGGACCAATGTCTCAGAATCAGGAGGCATATGAGCTTTTCAAACACAGATCCACCTGCAGCTCAAGGGCTTAAGCAGGGTAGCAGAAGACCCAGAGTCTAAATTTGGCAATTTGATTCAGTCTAGACTCAGTGAGAAAAACTGAACCTGAAAATGCCAAAACTCTCCACTGAATATTACTGGAGCATCTGTGGGTAAAATGAACCCTACACTCAGGTCAATGAGTCTAAGCTATTAATTCTTCCCGTAGCAGTGTAACGAGAGGAGCAAACTCAACCTTCATGCACCTACAAGACACTTGCCTCACCTTAAACAAGGAGATAAAACCAATCAAGACTGACTTAAGGTGGAGTTAAGACATGGACAACTGCCTTCTAAATCTTCTCTCTGTAATCTCCTTTCAGACACCTCTGGCCTCTGAAAGATCTCACCCTGACAACCAACCAGGTAAAAAATAACACAAAGAAGTAACTTTGGTGTGTTAATGAGATGGCATTGGGGCTACATGCTGCTGCTAATGATGGAGCTTCACCTAAGTAATCACAGGGCAGACTGCACTCAAAAATCAGAGCTACATGATGTGGGTAAATCTTCCCTCTTTAAACTGAAAGATGAGATATTAGGAAAAAATTATTTCCTGTGAGGGTGGTGAGCCCCTGGCCCAGGTTGCCCAGAGAAGCTGTGGCTGCCCCATCCCTGGAGGTGTTCAAGGCCAGGTTGGACGGGGCTTGGAACAACCTGGTCTGGTGGGAGGTGTCCCTGCCCAGGGCAGCGGGGGGGGGAGAGGAGACGACGACTTGATGATCATCAAGGTCCCTTCCAACCCAAACCATTCTATGATTAGTTATGATCTGTAGCTACTGCATATTAATTTCAATGGATGGGAATACGAGCTCTGCATAGGATTGCTTTGTAATGCTCTGCTTGGTGGTGTTTCAAAGACATCTGCGTTCAGAGTGGCACTGTAGACACCAAAGGGTGTTCAGAGTGGCACTGTCTACAATAGCTTTATTTCACCCTTCATTATGGGCAGCAAACATGCTTATTTTGGCTCCAGCCGTGTGGTAGCTCTCGGAGAGCTGCTTTTACAGAGGCACAACTCTTCTTTGTCTCCCTTTCAGAGGCGGTCCCTCATCAAAGACAAGTGTTTCCTCTCTGCCACAGAGTGTTTGCAGAAGCTGATGTAAGTCACTGTCCATAACCTCCAACTGACAACCAGGGATTTTCTTTTTTCTGGGAAATGCCATAAACTTACACCTGTTTACAAAAGCATTTCTGGGCCAGCCTGCAAGATTATTTAAAGTAAAGTTGTTTGTGATGTTATTTCTGTTTAAAAGAAAAAGTAACTTCCATAGAATTATTTTTTTTTTCCCAAAAAATAGTATCAAGACAATATCGATTGTGTTTAAATGCAACCGTCCCCTGGCTAATATCTTCCCTTAATTTTGCAGAGACATTCCTACACAACATCTGACTTTGAAATAGAGTTCACTCATGTCGGTGCACACAGCAAATTGGGCCTGGCTGTGACTGCCTGGTCAGGATAGAGCCCATTGCTGTGGACACCTGGAGCTACATGAGCGTTATCCATCCAGTGTGGCATCCCAAGATGTTAATGTAGCAAAGCAGAGCTCAATTTGAGAAGCTCAGCTTGATTTATTGGCTTAAAGTCCAGCCTAGGGGATGGTGCTGCAGTAACGAGTGGGAAGGAAGATAAAGGGAATGAAGGAAGTGTTGTGGGATCCATCAGACAGGAGCTCTCAGGTCCCTAAGTACACTAGGCCTGGTGAGAGCCTCCCTGTGAAAGCCAACGTGACTTCTCTTCTGGGGAAGGTAGCACAGGCTACGTGTACCTTCGCAGGGTGCTACAGGAAGAAAAAACACCTTATAGATGTGACAACTGAATTAGTTCCTCGCAAGAGCAGCATCTTGATGGAACTGCCCAAAGTGGTTCATCTCATACTCTTTTAGCTTTTATTTGAGAGATGTAACTCGGGTTAGTCCTGTCTAAAATGGAAGACTGACACTAGGGCGAGCAGGTCATACTCAGGACTTGGGAAGGATGTGGACCTGTTGGATTGGGTGCAGAGGAGGGGCACGAAGATGATCGGAAGGCTGGAGCACCTCTGCTGTGAGGACAGGCTGAGAGAGTTGGGGTGGTTCAGCCTGGAGAAGAGAAGGCTCCGGGGAGACCTTATAGCAGCTTTCCAGTACTTCAAGGGGACCTACAAGAAAGGTAGAGAGGGACTTTTTACGAGGGCATATAGTCATAGGATGAGGGGGAATGGCTTCAAACTGGAAGAAGGGAGATTTAGATTAGATATTAGGAATAAATTTTTCACTCTGAGGGTGGTAAGACACTGGAACAGGTTTCCTTGAGAAGTGGCTGCCCCATCCCTGGAGGTGTTCAAGGCCAGGTTGGACTGGCGTCAGAGCAACCTGGTGTGGTGCGAGGTGGCCCTGCCCGGGGCAGGGGGGTTGGAATGAGATGATCTTTAAAGTCCCTTCCAACCTAAACCATTCTATGACTCTAAGGTCCATCTGGATGATGTTACACTCTGGTGATACCTCCTGGCACAACCTTGTTGACTCCTTTTTGGTGCAGACATTTGAGATGATTGATGGACTTTTTTTTGTAGCATGACAGTCTGCTCTGAGGTTTGGGTTTTTTTTAGTTCTGCTGCTTTATCTCTTTAGCTGTGTAATGGAAGCATTTTGACGTGGCTGTTTTCACACTGACAGCACCACGGTGGATCCCCGGGAGAAGCTGGTGATCCTCCAGAAGACGTATGAGGAGATAGAGAGCACAGTGTCCCGCGTAGTGGAGAAGGACTACAAGCTCCCTATGGATGACCTGTTGCCCCTACTGATGTATGTTGTATCCCGAGCAAAGTAAGTGGAAGCTTTTTGTTTCCCAGTCCTGTTGTTGTGTGATACCTCAGTCAGGCGGCTGGGGACTTCCTGAGAGTCCATCTCTTATCCAAGGGGACAGTCATGGGCAACGCGGTCTTACCTGCATCTCAGATTACTGCAGAAAATAGGAACATGAAGCTTTTTTTTTTTCTTTTTCCTAGAATACAGCACTTGGGAGCTGAAATCCATCTGATCCGAGACTTGATGGACCCCACCAATCAAGGAGGACTGTATGACTTTCTGTTAACAGCATTGGAGGTAAGGACATGTTTTCAAGAGCAACAGTTGCCTGCTGCAGTAGCCTTTCTTGAGTAGTGGATACTGATAGGTTTTACTCTCCTTTAATTTTCTATGCCCAGCCCAGGTTATCTTCCTTCTAGTCTAGAGAATATGCTTACCTTTAATTTATAATGTGCAGATTTAATCTTTGGTCTATCCCATGGGGCAGCACAGAATCATAGAATGGTTTAGTTCGGAAGGCACCTTGAAGATCATCGAGTCCCAGCCCCTTGCCCTGGGCAGGGACACCTCCCACCACACCAGGTTGCTCCAAGCCCCGTCCAACCTGGCCTTGAACACCTCCAGGGATGGGGCAGCCACAGCTTCTCGGGGCAACCTGCGCCAGGGGCTCACCACCCTCAGAGGGAAAAATTTCTTCCTAATATCTAATCTAAATCTCCCTTCTTCCAGTTTGAAGCCATTCCCCCTTGTCCTATGACTACATACCCTTGTAAAAAGTCCCTCTCCAGCTTTCTTGTAGGCGCCCTTCAATACTGGAAGGGGCTCTAAGGTCTCGCCAGAACCTTCTCTTCCCCAGGCTGAACAACCCCAACTTTCTGTCTGTCGAGCTGTTGTGAAGCCTCTGGCTTCACGTTGTGTGCAAGAGACCAGATTTTGGCCCAAAGTTCCAAACCTTCTCCTTGATGGGTTGCTCTGTTCCTTGCCTAGTCGTGCTACGAACACATACAGCGGATGAGACTCCACCAAAGGGAGAACTGCCAGGTGACTCACAGCTCCTGAGCCCCAGGACCTGACGGGAGCCTCCTCTTTGCTGCACTTTCTTGACCAAACACTATTGGATGAAGAAGCAATCAAGACACTGCTGTTCCAGCTGCCTTCAAAAAGGGAAAAACGGTTATTTATCAGATGAGGGTTTCTCACGTGGTTTTCCCTTAGACTAGCTATGGTTGTGAAGCACAGACATATGGATGCTGTGGGCTAAAAGCCTTCAATAATCAACCTCAGCTTGTGTTTGGGAGTCTCTCCGCGGAAAGCGGCCCAAGGTTTCTTTTGCCCTGTCGTTTGTATTTCACCTTCCCGCAAATAGCGATCTGCCCTGAAACCTCGTTTACCCGTTCTCTCAGACGCTGCGTTTGTTTTGCACTGGTGAACTGACATTAAGGAGGGATGGGGTGGGTTATTTTATAGAAAGCGGTTAAATGAAACCACAAGAACTGTTTTGGCGGGGACTATTTCTGACCGGCAGAAATGTGGCACGGGCAGGAGAAAGGCCATCTCCGTGCTCAACCACCCGTTCCCGGAGCGAGGTAGTTTGTATCCCCAAGAGGAAGGTTTTTCCATTCCTCTTCCTACCTGTGCCAGACTCAGTACCTCTCCGTTGCATTATTAAAGCTGCTATTGACTAATTTCCTGGTTTTAGGATACTTACAAGTGTATATTTATACTCTGCAGACTCCTGTTGAATCTCAGGGATGTCACACTCGCACCTTCAACATGCTTGGGCTGCTTTGTAATTCCGCAGGGGTTCGTGCGCGCCTAATAGAAAGGACATGCTACAGTGTCCTAGGGTGAGAAATCTCAAATCCTGGGGAGAGAAAACATAAACCCACCCTCTTTTCTGCACTGACGGAGCTGCAAAAACCACGGGTTTTCCGAAGTGCACAGCTTTGGGCTGACAGACCACCCACTGACGCCAGTGGGGTCCAAATCGGATGAGAATTGGGGCTGGGTTTTACACTGCCTTTATAAAAGGCAAATGGATCTTTGGTCTCCTGTTCCTATCAGACAAAGAGTGTAATGTCTGAATTCCATATTTAGAGCAAAAGCTCTTTTGAACTAGATTTTAACCTGCCTTTTTTTTTTTTTCTTTTTTTAACCAGTTTAACTTTAAATTGTCCAGGTCTGTGACTTAAGGAAAACAAAACAAAACTCTACAGGCTGTTTCCTCCTGTTTATCACAAGTATTATGCTTTAATAAATAGTACACTGATTACAATAGTTAATATATTGGTATGAGAGTATCCTAATGTATGTTTTACAGTAACTTTGTATTTAAATAAAGCTGTTTTAATTTTTAAGAGAGATTCCAGGCTGGCACACTTCTTATTCCAATCTTGTCGCCATCTTCAGGCATTTGAGAATTTGCCTTCCTCTCTTTGACTTCCAAAAACGCGTGGCTCCCTTACCACCTGGATCGTTCACAGGCATGGAGAATATGAACTACAAATTTGTTTCCTAATGTAATTGTAAGAGGGACTGAATCAATAAAACGAATTTTTGTGCTTCTGTTCCCTGCTGAAGCAGCAAGGACAACACGGCTTAAACTTTTAAGATAATTTCCTGCAATTAAACTACTATTTTTTTTACCCCTTTGTCATACTCTGATCACACTAAGCCTTAGCAGGCGTTAAGAAGGATGTCTATTACGCATCTTCAGAGCCGAAGATGCTGTGGCGCAGAGACAGCCGAGGCCAGGAGCAAGTGAGAGTGAGCCCCTTTTATAAAACGGCAGTGTTTAAAGCGGTTGGTGCCAATACCAGTCACACAGCATGCGGTGAGACCGGGGAATACAAGACCAAACCTGCGCTTTCCTACCAATGCACTGATTGTCAGATTTAAGCCATTGTTCCTCCTCTCTGTGAAACCTCACCTTATTCGCGTAAGGATGAAAGCTCCAGCTGCCTGTAAACAGCCTGAAGTAACAGCTGTGAACTTTTAATTTTGCTTCAAACTGGCAGTTTTCCAGTCTAAAGAAACACCCTGCCAGGAAGTTGAATCACTGAGATGTAGTCACAGCTAGTTTTTTTTTTTGTTTTTGTTTTTTTAAAAAAAAAGTTTGTTTTCTCCATACTGCATTCTTCCATGCTTTGGGTATTGATTTTTCAATTTCAGGTACAGCTTCCTACTCAAAATGCAGAATTTCTACTAGAAAACAGGACATGCAAAATGCATGCGCGTACAAACTCCACAGGATTATCTAGAAAACAAGGTGATTTTTCAGCCTACTGAAGATTTCTACTATTGCACTTTCTAAACCTATGGTTATTAGTGGCTCTTACTGGTCATCTGGTTGAAAATCGAGGAAGTTCTTGAGCAGTAATTCAAGTGAGCCCTAAAGGGGCAACTAAGGTAACAGTGTGCAGCCATTTGTGCTTCTGGGCTTTCTCACCAACCAGTAAAATACTCTTTTAGCCCCAGGGTAGCATTCAGGTTGCAAATTGTGCTGTGTAACCATGCAGTAGTGCTATTGGGTGTGTTAACAGCATGGCTTTTGTTTTTTAGGAGAGAATCTGAGGCTACTTGCGAGCTTCCCTGATGAATCGAATCTCTGCTTGATAAAATACCATGCCTTGAAATAGCGTGTGGAAATGTGAGAGTACATTCAGGTTCCTCCTTTTGAGCTTGGGTGGATCACATGCTGAAATTATTAGTAGCAGATTTGCTATCAGGATTCCAGCTTCCTCATCTGTTAAATGGAATCCTGCAGGCCCTGCAGCAGTAGGATGGCTGACTCTACACGAGACTTTTGGCTTTAGAAAGATGCCACTGTACAGGAAAATAGTACAGTCAGCTCTTCTGCATCCAGGCTCCAGTTGTTGAGCCAGCTCAGGCTTCAAGGGAAGCTAACTAATTAGGGTCCCTTAATATATCAAAAAAGAAAAAGAAAGGCTGAGCTGCACCTGGAAGCAGGGCAGGTCTTAAATAAATTTAGGTGTGACCAGACAAAGCAGCATTTAACTGCTGGAGCCTGCAGTGCAGGTTTGCTGTCAGAAGCAGAGGGAATACGGTGCAGACCGCTGCAATCTCAGCGTTTAGCCCTGAGAGCCCTAAGCCTGACCGAGAGAGAACTTCTGTTCCCCTTCCCTGAATGCGTACTCACCAGCAGGGCTCGTAAGATAATACTAACGTGATCTGGGTTTTCCCTTTATCTGAGATTTTTTTTTTTCTTTCCGAATTACTCTAGCTACCTCAATGCTGTCAACTTAAAAAGTATTCAGTCGTCTTCTGAAAGTATTCTCTCCCCACTCTATATTAAGGCTCTTTGTACTCAAATTGCAACGGCTGTTAAACAGGGAGGAGTCAGTCTTTGACAAACACCCATTTTGCAAAAGGTTCATTTTACAAAGAACTGAATAAATAGGAAGTTAGAGTAGCGCTGTATCTATTGCTGCTTTCAAGTGGTGGAGTAATGCCTCCGGAGGTGGAGAAAGTGACGTCAGGTCTAGTTTCTTGAAATCTTCATTAGCACTCAATGATGTTAACACCTTCACAGTCCTCTTTAAATCAAACACCGCGTGGAGCATGCCCAAGGTGGAAATGGCAGCTTTGGGAGTGTTCTTTGCCGAAGCTTCGTCATCGAGGCCCTTTTCCAAGACAGAAATCCTGTTCTCTGCAATAACTTTGAGGAAGTTGTAGAACTCCTTGTAGTCTATACCCGTGCAAGACTTCATGATCAACTAGGGGAAAAAAAGGCAGCATTGAAATAGAAACAACTCTCTTTTATTTAAAGCAATAATTACAAAAACATATTTTTATTTAAAGCAATAATTACAAAAACATCAAGCTAATATCTATATATCAAGCTAATAACTATCTGGAATCATAAGTAACTATTTTTAATCATTTTTTTTTAGTAATTGCCCAATGGCACTAAAATTCTTTACCTTGCTTGAAATGCCTCTAGCCCAAAAAGCAACAGCCTGTTTCTTCTAAGTTCTAAATGGCTGTGTTTTTTCAAACTATTTTTGAAGGATATCAATCTAGCAGCAGTAACAGCCCAGAAATAAACTTTACATTTGTTTCAGGCTTACGATTTTGGAAGCATACAATACATAACACTACTCAATATAGTTATGTGTTCTGAAAGCATCACTTTGCAGACACAGAAACCTGCTGCCACCTTCCCCTTAGTTTTGCTTGTTTTAGATTCACTGTTTCATCATGAATGGTCTTCAAACCAGTTCTTTTGAGCGGGTTCTGTCTTATCGGTTCTGTTTACACTTCTATTTTATAAAGGGGGAATTAAATACTCCATAAACACGGAGTAATTCCAGGTATGAGGTTAAGGACTTGCGTGTCTCAGAACTCATAAGGTGCTGCAATGCACCCCAGAAATATATGATCATCTAACAGGGAGTCAGGAAGACAGCATCATGCTGTTGTACCTGGCATTGTAGGTGCCAATCATCTATAGGGTCCTTCCATTCATTGATTTCCCGTTGAACAGCTGCTAATTCATCCTGCAGGAAGCACCACATTATAGCCACGTTGCAGCCATTCACCCAGTTGTGGTTAACGGAAATGGTATCCTCCTGAACGAATAATTTAAACTGTTACTAGGCTCTACACAGGAAAGGGTGAGAAAACAGCTGTAACACCACCAATGCTGCAAAATGTAAAGTCACATTCCTCAGCAACAGAAATGCTCCTTTGACACCAATACTGAGCCAGCAATGTGCCCTGGTGGCCAAGAAGGCCAATGACATCCTGGGGTACATCAAGAAGAGTGCGGCCAGCAGGTCGAGAGAGGTCATCCTCCCCCTCTGCTCTGCCCTGGGGAGGCCACATCTGAAGTATTGTGTCCAGTTCTGGGCTCCCCGGTTCAAGAAGGACAGGGAACTGCTGGAGGAGGTCCAGCAAAAGGCTACTAAGATGATGAGGGGACTGGAGCATCTTTCTTATGAGGAAAGGCTGAGGGACTTGGGCTTTTCAGTTTAGAAAAAAAGATCTTATCAATGCTTATAAATCCTTAAAGGGAGGGTGCCAGGGGGATGGGAATAATCTTTTTGCAATGGTGCCCAGTGACAGGACAAGAGGGAACAGGCACAAACATGAACATAGGAAGTTCCATCTAAACATGAGGAGGGACTTCTCTGTGAGGGTGGCAGAGCAGTGGCACAGGCTGCCCAGAGAGGTGGGGGAGTCTCCCACTCTGGAGCCATCCCAAACCCGCCTGGACGCCGTCCTGTGCCACTGCTGGAGGTGCCCCTGCTCTGGCAGGGGGTGGCACTGG